TCTGGTGTTCAGGCCGGGCGGTCTACTTTCCAAAGTCGCTTCCCGTCTTGTGCGAGGTGTTGTCCCCTTCCCCCCGAGCAGCGGGGATTGTGACGAGCAAAAAGACGGTGGTGCCGGCGGTGGGGCGCGTGCCTCCCCGAGTCGCCCTGTCCCCCCCCTGCTCCCCACTCGGTGGGGTTCCTCGGGCTTCTTTACTGAACCAGGCTGTGTGACGGCCGTGCAGCCCTGCAAGCCTTCAGGTGTCCTAAACCACGCCAGGTGCCGGTGCTGGCCTTGGGCTGGGTACCCGTTCGGCTCACCTGTTCGGCTATGCCTGTGCCGAACTGAGGATTGCGGTTGTTCTGCAGACGACTACAAGGGGCAGCACCTCTCCGAGAAAGACACAGGATGTACGAGGATAGCTGGATATGACTAAATATTTTAAAGCACTATCAGCAGCCATTCCTTGTAATCTGCCTACTGGCATCTCCCAGCAGGAACCTGTTCCCCGCGGGCAGCAACATCCCCTGGCAGAGACTGGGCAACTCCCAGGACCTGCACAGCAGCGTCCCTCTGCCTCACCACATGCCTCAACCTCTGCAAAGTGAGCAGTGACCTCCTGTGCAACAAGGCGACTTTTCACACCTGTCCAAGCAGTGCTCCAACAGAAATGCTCAGCAAGCTGGAGGTAACATGGGTGATTCCTACTCTCTTCGAGCACAAAACTTGTTTTACTGCCAGCGACGGACAGTGAGTGGCTACTGGTCTTTTGTCAGTCTGACCTGAGGATTCAATTCATTCAGCAAGCTTGCAAAAGCAAAGGAAGATTTGGATGTTATGGTAAAGTCAGGAGCAGAAGAGACAGAACAGTCTAGTTGCTATCTACTCTACAAGAAAATAGGATGCTTGAAAAGGTCACAGGAAAGAAGTATTTCAAGGAATGAATGGAGGAAGACAAGTTAAACAATAGCTACTTTGACTGCTGCCTCACAGTGACTTAGAAAGCTTAAATTAAATATTGCATTGGTGTCCACAACCTTCTTCCTGCAAAAACATACAAACAGCTCAGGTTGTGCTTTGAAGTTTATCCTGTGTGAAATGTGTTCATCTGATTCATGTCAATAGGGAACAATGCTAGGGCTGCATGATGAAATGTGACCTTCTGTCTTGCATACCCTTGTATAACCACAAGCCTAAGGAAAACAGAGCGGTTAATGTACATAGTTCCTGTATCTTGCAAAGTTGCCTGACAAACACCCTGCTATACCAGTTTAAACCAGTTTTGTTGCTAACCGCATAGTGTTCTGTAAGAGAAATCTATAGGGCGCATGTGTAAAGTCTAGAACCTTCTCTATGAGTATGTATTAGCAGACGATATATAAACTGGAAACGGGGACTCGTATGGTGTGCGTCTTGGTCGAGCAGAGACTCCCGGCGCACCCAGCACTGTTTACTTGCCTCTATTCGTTTAATAAATTGTAAACTTTAATTGTAATCCTATTTGGGACTCAGTCATTTATCTCATCCTGCTTCCCATTTAATGCACAATTTCAAAATCCCCTTTTCCAATTCAACTGTAATTCTGAAAATCTGCTAGTTTTAATAATTTGTGTCATATGTATGGTATAAACAAGTTACTGAAAAAAGTTCCTGCTTTATTTTGTGGCCTGCTGTAATCCACCATGTTGAGTCTGACAGCATTGCAAAGGCATCTCTCCGAGCACTGTCTAGAGAAGTGTTTTCACCCCGATAAAGGACAGAAGCTCATCAGAACAGAAGTCATCCGAAGGCAAGCCTACATGTGGAACAACAAAGAAAAGCCTCTGTTAGGCTTCGATGCCTTGCTAGCCAGCTATTACATGGCTGGGGAGAGGATCTGCAGGGTAAGAGATGAAAACAACAACTAACGTGCCAGACTGTCTCTACCAGAAAACAGGGTAACTCCCAAGAACAGATTTTCTCCCCAGTGCTTAAAAATATTATTTCTCCTCGTGTCATTTTTAACTCTGTTCTAATCAACACCACTTGCACTCTTTGCGACACACAAATCACCTCTGCAGCTGGCACTGAAAGCACTGCCTCGAAACTTCCTGATTAATAGACTGGGCTACCATTTCTGCATCTTCAGCTTCCACCAAAAGAGGCATCAATGATCCCATCTACAGCTGGTCTATCATCATTTCTTGACTTAGCTAGTTCAGTAGGCCAAAAACTTCATGCAACTTTTGTTTGCATTATTCTTACACAGCACTGTGCTCCAAAAGAGCACCCGCATTGCTTTGAAAGGATGAGTCAATAGCATCTAACGTACTTCCAATCATTAATCTGATTATACAGACTATCTGATGCCTTAATGCCTTATTGGCACTGCTTGCCCTTTCAGCGTGTGAGTGGCAAAGCGAAAGCCATGCTGGAGACAACGTCATAATGAACCAAACAGTTTAAAAAAAAAAAAAAGTGTAAATGCATCATTCCTGAGAACAGGCTTTTGGAAGGGAATTGTGCCTTTACAAATCATGCGTCTATAGTCTAAGCACGGAAGAGGACATGCCACACCCCCACACCCCCTCTTTTTTTAAAATAGGTCCTAACGATCCCTTTTGCCTTCCCAGCATCTTAAAAAGACTCCCTTCTATCCATTTTTTCCACTGATATTTAAAATCCTGTGCTTTTAAAGGGGAACTTTAAAACTACTCTGAAACCAATGAGCCATGTCTGCATTTTCACATGAAAAACACCCTCTCGAAAGCTTCAATAAGCCTCTGTGTCATTAATACACCAAGTATCAAATTTTATGCTCATTTTACAAAGGTCCAAGTGCAACACAGTCTACCTAGAGGAGGATCTTGTCAATATTAAACCTTTAAGTACGAAAAATCTTCCTCCTTTAACTTCATCTTTAGGCAATGCCACATCTGATATAACCTAGCAAAGCAGGTGCTCTTAAACACTGGATGTAGGAAAAGAAAAGCTACACACTCTGTAGAACTGGTATGATGTGGATCAGAGTAACACTTTATGGGGTAGCATATTTAGGAGGATAAAAGTTTCTTCTAAAACTTTACTTTCTGTTCCTCACTGGCTATTGCAGAATCCATGTCTTTGCCCTATTCCAATATATCTTTTCTTCTGGTGATAATAATTGGCCTCCATCACAGTTTATTACCATCCAACATTCTGGTTTTCAGGCTGTTTCACACAGACCAAACTACTGCAGGAGTGATGGCAGCCAGATGTCCAGTCAGCCTGCGAGCACCTGTGACACTGAAAGTACATTAGTGATTGAAGAGAAAATTCAGAGACCCTTCTGCCGCAAAGCCCTTGAAGCCCATGAAGCATTTTTCAAAAGCTCTCTCGACAATTTTATTCAATACTGCTAGAAAAATTCAAGACTTCAGAAACATATCACTTCCTGCATGTGTCATGCCATCCAGTGGCATCCCTAAGACCCCGGAACACTGTGCTGTGAAGTCCCTTCACAGACGTTCTCCTGAAAATAGTGTAAATATCTGTAGATAAACAGCGAGGTTTAGGTCCAACCCCTTTAAAGTCTAGGGCTGAAGTTACAGTTACTGCAGCATACACATTATTCTTCTTAAGTTTTAATACATGAAACAGGAAGACGAAAAAACCCCACTAGTACACATTTTAAAAAAAAGTCAAAAAACCCACATCTTCTCTCCAAATTAGCCATCTGTTCTATGTCTATCACTTATAGCTTTCTCCGTCAGATTTCAAAAAACCTGGCAAGTTTGTCGTTACAGGATATCCTCCCAAATCTCCTTATCATTTGACCTGGAAGAATTCCAGGACACCAAATCTTCTGTAAGCACTACATGTCGCCCATCAACCATGCAATCTTCTACACCCAGCTCCACCTCTAAAGCACAGATCCGAAGGCCGTTGTCGGAACAGCAACCCCAAAAGAACAGCTCTGTGAGGCCCCCAACACAAGTCCCAGCTACCGCTCGTGGCCGAACGACATTACCACTGCCCACTCCACTTGATCCCAGCGCCGCTTGCCCTCCTGGTTCCCTGCACGCCAGCAGGATGGGCCCGAGGCTGACTCACGCTACATGGGGACGAGCTGCAACGGTCCCCGAGGCCCCGCGCCTGCCGCCCCACACACCTTCTTTGGTCTGGGCGTCGGTGATCTGCAGATCGCAGCTGGACGCCTTCAGCTCCTCGCGGCCCATGATCTGGGGCTTGAGGTTGCACAGGGAGATGTGGAGGCTGTTGAAGGTGACCATGTCATAGGTCAGTTTGGAAAAGAACTTGTAGTGGACAGCAGACATGGCTGGGGTCAGGCGGTGCCTGTTCTGTGATGGCGTCTGCCACGTCAGAGGGTGGACGGGAGGATAATGGGGAGAGGCCCCACGGCCCTGGCTTGGCCTTTGCCCTCTCTCTCACACTCAGCACTGCCAGGCACGACTGCTCGCGATGGTGACAGCACCAGTGAGCCCCTGCCTCAGTGTTCGGCACACGGAAACCAACCCCTGCGCCTCAGGTGACCCAGCGCATTGTGACATCAGGCCCGTATCCCTGGGCGGAGGTCACAGAGTCACAGAATCACAGAATGCTTTGGGTTGGCAGGGACCTTCAGAGGCCATCTAGCCCAACCCCCCTGCGGTGAGGAGCGACATCTTCAACCAGACCAAGTTGCTCAGAGCCCCGTCCAACCTGGCCTTGAATGTTTCCAGGGATGGGGCCTCCATGACCTCTCTGGGAAATCTGTCCCAGTGTTTCACCCTCCCTTCGAATAAAGCTATTGCTCCTTGTCCTATTGCTACAAGCCCTCCTGAAAATATTTTCCCCATCTTTCCTATAGACCCCTTCAAGTACTGAAAGGCTGTCACAACGTCTCCTGCAGCCTTCTCTTCCCCACGCTGAACAGCCCCAACTGTCTCAGCCTTTCCTCATAGCAGAGGTGCTCCAGCCCTCAGATCATCTTTGTGTCCTCCTCTGGACCCGCTCCAACAGCTCCGTGTCCTTCTGGTGCTGGGGGCTCCAGAGCTGGACACATGACTCCAGGTGGGGTCTCACCAGAGCGGAGCAGAGGGGCAGAATCACTTTACTCTGCTCTGCTGAGACCCCACCCTGGAGTACTGGGGCAGTAGTTTGGCATTAGAGTTGCTTTGAAAACCAGCAGCACGTGTATGTGTGTGTGTGAAGTAGCGACTGGTCAAATAATTTTGCGAACCACGGGTGAAACTGCCTTCAGGCTGCCCCAGTTTCAACAGCAGAGCTCATACCCAGGAACTGTGCTGCTCAAGGCTGTGAAAACTGTCACGCTACGGCTGTACCCACATCAGCGCACTTCTTTCTGAGGGACACTGCCCGTTTCTGTGTATTCCCACCTGCCCAAAACCATCTGTGTTTTCAGTTTGGGAAGCATTTTGGAAAAGCACGCTGCTTTTATCTGAATACCTGCTTTTACCTCACTACAGTGCAGGACCAGAGTCCCTGGATATGGCTGGTAAAGTCTGTGGCGATACAGAACTGTGTGGGGTGGAAAACCACAAAACCCAGCAGTTCAACTCATATCCATTGTTTAAGAGAAGGCTTTTGGCTAGAAAACAGTCAAGAAAATCTAAAACCAGACCTAAGTTACACTCCCCCCTTGACTGGCACCTCTTTCTTCACCAGTTCTTTGCATTTCTTTAGTTGCTGGGGAGTACATACCTACATTTTCCTGTTTAAATGAGGCAAGAAGAATCAGCCACAAATATGCAGAAAACCTGCCGTTCACATACATGCTGCCCACACAGTAGCATTACCAAGGCCCCGCACCAACACAAAGGATTAAATTAACGCACCAGGGAGGGGAGAGCAGCAACAGCCCTCTGGCACCCACGGTTAGTAACAAGAGTTGCTGCCCTGACCTGGGCCTCAGTCAATGTGCAAGCACAGCACTAATCCAGACACGAACCTGAGCGCATCACTTCATCCCAGGTGCCACAAGAGCTGCACCTTCTTCCATCACCTCCTGATGATGAACTGTTTTCCAGGCTCTTCCATCTTGTCGCAGCTCAGGTGACTGCACTCTGGCTCAGGGCTGACTGGCGAATATCTCAGTGCTTGAACTTTGCCTTGGGCTTGGTACGAGCACTAGGCTCCATCCCTTCAGCTTGGCCCCCGGCAGAGGTGGGCAGGCGGCAGGTCTGCAAGTGGTTGGATGGGACTGAGCTTGCACACCTACCAGAGATTAAAAACCAATCAAAGAAAAAGCCCAGAGACACTGTGTTACAGAGTAGCAGAAAGAAACATCAGGGCCCATCACTATTTAAGAAATGGGATTTGGAATTTTGGAGACTGGAGCTGCTAACAGACTCCACTCTTTCAACGGAAACATCCCTGAGCTTTTGATCCTGACAGAAATATTACAGACTGCCCCCACCTCTACTTTGCAATTGCTGGAAGTGTTTGGTTGTCCATGCCCAGTTCTCTTCCACACTCACAAAGCATGTTTAACCTGCAAAACAGCACTACAAACTGGCAGCCAAACACCTCTTCTCTCCAAGATGTGAAAAGTGCAGTTAAAGACGGCACAGGTACCATGACCAGCCTTCTGGTCTGGGTCAGGGTTTAGAAAGCAAGGTCTTCTGCACCTCTGTTTTCCAGCTGCTGCCAACCGCTGCAGAAAGGGTCTGGTTTTGATCAGCTGGATGATCAATGCTCACTACCAAACTAGAGAAGAGGACATTTACACCTCAGGCTTCAGACTCTGAGCCCAGCCTGCAGGACTGAATGACCTGTCTCAGGCCATCGGGCTGACTGCAGCGTTGCACATGCCCTGGCTTCTCAAGCTCTTCCCCAGCAGTCCCCTCCTGGCCACCCTGCTACAGGCTGCCATAGGGTCTCAGGGACCCTTATTCTGGATCCATTCTGGCGTCTCCCATCAGTGAGGATACCGAGATGCTGTCCCAGCACACTGTGCTCCTCTCACCTCTTCTAGTCTCTCTGCCTTGTCCGTTCCTCATCTCCAGCCACTGGTTTTGGCCTGCCCTCAGATCTACACTGCTTGTAAAACACTCCCGTTTCAAGGAAGTCAACAAGATGACCACATCCTCCAGGTCCTTGTCTCTCATGGGAACTTCGGTCTGGCAGTCAATACAGAAAATGGCAGCGTGATCACAAAAACATCAAGGTTTGCCCCAGAGGTAGGCAGGATGAGATTTTCTGGTGTTCTGCAGGGAAGCACAGGAAAAGGAAACCCAGTGAGTTTTAAGCATTAAGAACTTTACTGGGCTATACTAGGCTTTATCTTTTTTTATCACTGCCCTTGTACCGGCATCACCATCACTGTCTCGGCACCAGCATCACCATCACTGCCCCGGCACTGGCACCGCCATCCCTCCCCTGGCACTGGCATCACCGCCGGCTAGCA